CTCACACACTCTTTCTATCTCCCTCTCCATCCTTCTCTACCTCTCTCTCTCCTTCTCTCTTTCTAACTCTCTCTCTCTCTCTCTCTCTCTCTCTCTCTCTCTGACACTCACTCTCCCTCCCTTTCTCTCTCCCTCTCTCTTTCAAACACTTTATCCCTCTCCCTCTCCATCCCTCTTTCTTTTAACCTCTCTTTTTCTCTCACTCACTCTCCCTCTCTCTTCCATTCTCTTTTGTCCTTCTCTCTCCTCCTCTCTCCCACACTCTCTCTCACTATCTCTCTCTCCCCCCTCTATTTTTTGCCCTCTATCTCCTTTTCTCTTAATAACTCCCACTCCCTCTTCTACCTCTTTCTTTCTCCCTCTCTCTCTCTCTCTCTCTCTCTCTCTTTTGTCTCTCTCTCCTCTCCCTCCCCCTCTCTCTCTTTCTCTCTCTCCCTTTCGCACTCTCTTTCTCTCTCACTCTCTCTGTCTCTCTCACTCTCTCTAACTCTTTCTCTCCTTCTCTGTTCTTCTCTCGTATTCACTCTCTCTCCCTTTCTGTCTCTTTCCCTCTTTCTACCTCTTTATCGCTCGCTTTCCCTCTCTCTGTTTCTCTTTCTATTCGTCACTCTTATTCTCTCTCCCCCTCTCTTTCTGTCCCTCACTCTCACTCTCTCTCCTCTCTCTCACTCTCTCTCTATCTCTCTTTCTCCCTCCATCTCCCTCTAACACTTCCTCACTCTCTTTCTCTCACATATTCTCTCTTTTTCTCTTTTTCTCTATCTCTCTCTCTTTTTATTTTTTTCACTTTCTCTTTTTTTTCTCTCTCTCCATCTCTTTCCCTCTGTCACTCTAATTGTCTGTTTCTTTCTCTCTCTCTCTCTCTCTCTCTCTCTCTCTCTCTCTCTCTCTCTCTCTCTGTCTCTCCCCATCTAATTTATTAAATTTTTCATGGACCTACGCGAGGTGGAATTATAAGGCTATCTAAACTCACTTTTTCGTTTGATCAAAAACTTATGTAGCTTATAGATTTGATCATTTTGGATCTGATGTGCGGTCCCATTGCTTTGTTTGACTATGGTGGTTCTCCTTTAACCTTATTATGCATTTATTTTATATTCGATTTGTTTTGCATTCGTGCTTCATAGAAGAGATATATCATTGAGAAATTTAGGTGTATCACTTTATATGTTCACATTATGAGAATTTACACTGCTAGCTAGAGTTGATTGATCTGAGTACAACATGTCTTTCCTTCAATCAAGCTGACTCAAGTGATTTTCTATTGATCTTATCACCCATTATTTCCTTGTCACACTTTATTTTTCCTGCAATTTATTTGGCACTCCAACTATAGCCAAATCATATCAGGATTAAGTGGTGTTTATATTGGGGAGGACAGACCCTACCAAGGTATAGGAGTTGAAATCACAAAGAAGGCTTTCTAAGTTTGATTAAATATATTATAATTTTTTATGTTGTTAATAGTTTATAGAATTATGAGAATCAAATAGTTTCAATTTATAATTGTCTATCTCTTGATAAGTTAGTGGCTGGTGGCTGGATTTGGAGTTCAGCATATTAGTTTCAATTGTGTTGTGTTTGGGCTTTATGTGGATGGCAGCATAGTTTCTTTATATTTTATGGCTCACAAAAATCATCTCTCTCTCTTACTTTGAGGAACTTTTCCATTAATATTCTTAATGATCTCATTGCCTTGATTTTTCTTTTTAAAACATTGGTTAGGTAAGAGTTGAGGTTTAAGTCATTGTCATCGGCATGTCTCTTTTTACACTTGTGTGCTTTGCTTCATTTGTTTGCTGGGAATGTAATTATACAATCGAAAGGAAAAGATAAAGCTTGAGAAATGTGTTTTTAACTGGATATATCTTTTAGTTACTCGGTCTCCATATGACAATGTCCAAAATTAGTTTCACCTATAATACGAGTTACATACTGTAAGAGTATTATATCAATCTATCTTATAACATATACTCATGTATTTATTGGGTAAGTGGAGGTTTATTGGCAAATGGGTACACATACATTATTTTGACAATGAAACTCTTTCCATGCACAAAACTATTTCTACACAATTACATTCTAATAAGCGACTTAAATATAATAACAAGTATTTGTGTTTATTTTATTTGCTAAAATTTGAGACATCTTAGATTTCAAATTATGACATTGTTATAATCTAGGTTGAGATTATTTGGAAAACCCATTAAGAACATCCAAATTAATTTTGAGAGAAATTCTAACAACTACATAAACTTCCTTTATGTTTCTGACAATATATTTTCATTTAATTCACATTATAACATTCAAGATGGTTGACATGGTTATACTTTTAGTGGTGTATTAGACTGAAGATAATTAAGTTCAATTTAATCTATAAATTATAATCAAATTTAAATTTTTTTGGCTAATTTTTTTCAAATGTAAATGTACATAAATTTTTATGAATTTATAATTAAGTAAATAAAATAAAATACTAAAAATAAAGATTTAAATTAAATTTAAAAATAGTCACGAAATATGTTTACCAAAAATGTTTAACTTAAATATTTAAAAATACTATAATAAGACCAAGCTAAAATAGGTTGGGCCCAATAACACAAGTCCAGTCCTTTATAACGGTTTAGGAAATAAAATAACTCAATAGAAAAAAAGAAATATTGGAAAATAAATAAATAAACACATCTTTAAATTCTAAAAAATGATAGGAGTACTAACTTAAAGTTAACATGTCTATATATAATAAGATCGAGAGAGGTACTCGTCAACATAATAGTACCCCCTCTCAGTGAGAAAAACATTAAAATTGTTCCTTCCGTTTTGGTTCGGTTTCATTCGATTCAATTCAATCACTGCAAATCTTCTTTTATTTTCTCCCAGTTATGATTACGATCACTCCCCGATCTGTGTTTTTTTGTTCTTGTTTTTGTTTTTCTTTTCAATTTTTTGTTTTTGATTGTGAAAAGTTGTGGTTACTACCAAATAATGGCAGAGCAAGTTGATATTTTGATTCACCAATTGAGTTTATAATATATAATATTATAGGGTTTGACTTTAGAATATTAAGGAGAAAGAAACTTAAAAAAAGTTATTGAGCCATTATTTCTGGGTTTTTTTTTTGTTCGGAAATCTGTGTTCTTTAGTTCTTGCTTTTGTTTTTTTTTTTTAGTTTCTTATTTTTGATTATTAAGAGCGAGTTGATATTTTGATTTACCGATTGAGTTTGTAATATCTGAGATTCTAAAATTTGACTTTAGACTATCAAGAAGAAGAAAGAAACTTTAAGAAAGTTGTTGAGTCATGCTGGTTATGGTAAGCTTTCTACTAGGTGATCAACTTTACCTCAAATTTATATTCACAAATTTTCCTTATAAAATGAGATCTATCGTTTAGATTGAAGGTTCTGAGCTAACATATTGGTTAGAAATGCAAGAATGATGGATGTTGGACTATCATTTATGATTTCTTATATTATGCATGCAAATGACAAAACTGATATTTTTTCTTACCTTGTTAGGACGTTGACTGACTTTATGGATTATTTTTGTCAACAACTGGATTATAGTTCAGGAGAATCTTTTTTACTCTTTCATATATATCAAAGTTATTGAAGGCAAATGATGAGAAATTATGGCATCATCTTGAATTCACGTTCAGGATAAACTAACTAAAACAGAACTTAAAATCTTTCTTTGTGCTTATAGATTGTTTTTGTTGCAAATTGACAACAATACATTGTTGCCAGCTATATTTTAAACTGACGAAAAAACTTATACTGGGTTCGTGATGAGCATGTGAAGGCGAAGTATTATGCATTTAGGTGTATCATATTGCTTCTCACCCAAGAATTCAATTCGCAACGCATTTTAAGAATTCAGGATTCTCTTTTTAAATAATCTTTTTGGCATTCGAGTATCTTCTTGCTATATATAAATAATTTATATACAGGTTGACATTTTTTTGTTGCATGTTAATACAATTCATACTTTTTACTTAGAAATAATTAAGTAAAAAAATGTGGTTAATGAAACGAAATATATATATATATATGATATTTTAATATGATTTTAGAAATTGATGAGAAAAATACAACTTTCCTTATACAATACTTTTAAAAAAAAATTAACAAAGGGCATCAACCTTCAACATAATTAAAGTAAAATCTACATAACACTTCTAATTCTTTATGTAGCTCTGTTCCATAGTCTGTAGTCATATCCATCACCATCAACTACCAAAATTAAAAAGAAACTACCATTAAAAACCCACATAGAAAGCCAGAATCTCAGCTAGTAACACCATAAAGCTTCCACTAATAAGAGGAGCCGAGGCCGAGGGGCTGGGTGCTTCAAAATCTGCGGAGTTAGCTCTCCTCTGGCATCACCTCCAGGTATAGCTTCAGCCATTTCTTGTAATTTTCTGGCTTGTTACTTAGGAAACACCGGATCCCTTCCTCTGCTAGTGAGATCACTTCTATTCTGTCTATGTACATCTTGATAGGATTGCTTAGATCACATGACTCGTATTCCTCCTTGCTTTTCACCTTAGAGTAATTCTCCCCTTCATTGCTGAACTCTGTCCATCCACACGAGTCACGTGAATAAAGTTTCATTTTATTACATTAATATTTTTTAAAAAAATTTATATATTTTAATATTTAAGTGAGATTTATGAGTTATTAATAATATAATTAATAATACTATAATTTTTTAATAATATTCAAAAAATAAATAATTTAATTTAAAAAATAATAAAATAATTAATCATCATAAATATTAATGATCTTATATAGATAATTAATTTCTAAATAAAAAAATATAAATTAAAATAAAATACTGTAAAACATGTTTACTCTTTTAAAAAAATAAATTATATCATCGACTATTTTATGTTCAGGGGAATACCTGCCTCCTCATATTATACAACTACTTAATATACTAACATGACTCTTTCAGTCTTTTCCCCTTCTCTCTGGTTGTCAACCTTTCATTACTTCCTCTCCATCCACAAAGCGGGTTTCGTTCTCTCTGGTTCGGGCCCTTTTAGGGTTTACTCGCGCCAAGAAAATTATCCATGGCTACAGTGTATCCACAAACCGCACAATCTCTGCGGTCAATCTGCTTCTCTTCTCCACAATCTCCTAAACGCCCTTCCCAGTTCCCCTCCATCAGGTCTCCTCCTCCTCCTTTACTCGCTGCCATTTCCTCTCCAAAACTTCCGGCGAGAAACGGTGCTCTTCATAAGATTAGTCGACCGCGTTTCGTGGCCAGAGCCTCCACTACTGAATTCAATGAAAACATCGGCGATATCCTCGGCGATGTCAGCATTTTCACTGCTTATGGTCGGCCTGTCTTCTTTAGGGACCTCTGGGACCAGAATGAGGTATATTATATCATATATGTATAGTTGGATGCGTACAGGGATATGGAATGATGTTCGTTGTTCTCTTTTCTCTCAGGGAGTGGCGGTTGTGGCACTTATGAGGCATTTCGGGTGTTTTTGCTGGTAATTGATTTATTAAATTATGGTTATTAAATTTATTTTTCAAAATTGAAAGTCTAGATAGTCTCATGAGTGTCTGTGCCTATTTCCCTAGTTGGGAACTCGCATCGGCGCTGAAAGAGGCGAAAGCAAGATTTGATGAAGCTGGTGTGAAGTTAATTGCAGTGGGTGTTGGTACTCCTAATAAAGCTCGTATCCTGGCTGAGAGGGTAGCACTTTCTTTCCCTGTGGATTCTTGCTTAAACTTCATTCCTGCATCATTGTTTCTTTTTCATTGTTCTTAAACGTCGGCGAGAAGGAAGACCTCGTCATTTGGGATTTAATAGTGAAAGTGGTCAAACACAATAACTTGACTGTGGATGCTGATCTTTTAAGTACCTTCTGCAAAACAGGACAAGATTGATTTTACACTTGTTCAAGCATGTGTATCTTATGGATGCGATGTTTAAATAACCATGCCATGTGACGTGGTAGCAGTTGACATATTATTATTTCCTTTTTTTAATGAATAAAGACATGTTATTTCATGTTTTCAATCAAAGGTAAAAAGTAATGTGAAGGAACTTTAGTCAAATGTTAAGTTGTGAAAGTTGCGCAGAAAGATAGCTAATTTATTTGTTAAGGATATATTTAAACTATAGGGGTCTTGAAAATTGTTTATTATACATTTTAATATATTTACTTGCTCTTACCGAAGCAATTGGGCTCTTGGCACTTTTGCTTGAGGGTTGGATTAAGTGGGCACATTTCAATTATTATTAGTGACAATAAAAGGCTATTCCTAGAGTTTTTGTGGAAAATTTCATGGTTTAGGAATAAATTTCTAGGGTTTTACTGGGGTCATCTTCATGGTTCTGGAATCCCCTGTTTTAACATGGAGAAGTAGGGTCTATAATAATGTCTAATGAGAAGACTTGTGAAGATGGACGATTCTTCAAATTTAGGCTGTTGATGGATTCGTGGAACATTTAGTTACAAAATAATTATACCAATCTGTATATATGTTACGGTTTATATTAATATGTCTGCTCTATTTGTTTAAGTTAGCGTGTTTTTCTTTTGATGATTCCTTTGAAGTTTTTGTGATAGTCAGATTACATATAAACTCAGTCAGAATTCCTTGATTTATATGAAAGCTTAGCTGATTAAAACTTTTCGGAACTTAACTGATTAAATTGCTGGAATTTGACAGGACATTGCATTTTTAGTGGTCATCTTCCAGAATGCACTTTTATCTAATCCCTTTTAGCTGATTGACTAACACTTATTCATTGTCATTCTGCTTTTAGTTGCCATTTCCAATGGACTGCCTTTATGCTGATCCCGACCGCAAGGTAATATATTTCATTGATTCTCTGTTAAATTTCTCTTTTCAGTAATTGCAAACTCTGGATGACTACATCTTTTGTTTCAGGCATATAATCTTCTGGACCTATACTATGGTTTAGGACGCACATTTTTTAACCCAGCTAGCGTAAGCTCTTTTTGTTTTCTTCTCACATTATTATTTGATACATGATTGTGTTCTTGGTGTATAAATATCTGCATTTTATGAGCAGGCTAAGGTGCTTTCTAGATTTGAAGCGTTGCAGAAAGCTATGAAAAATTATACTATTGAAGCCACTCCTGATGATAAAAGTAGTGTCCTGCAGCAGGTTTAATGCTTTATTCACTTACGGAAAACTTACACCGAACACTTCCCTGCGATTGCATTGTGCTAATTTCCATTTTTTTTTCTTGTTTTCTTCTTCATTTTTCAGGGAGGGATGTTTGTGTTCAAGGGGAAACAATTGCTGTATGCACGAAAGGACGAGGGAACAGGTGATCATGCTCCTTTACAAGATATCTTCCATGTCTGTTGCAAAGTTCCTGTTTCATAACTTGAGTAGCAAAGCAAAAAATCAAGTTTCCAGGCATTTTATACAGGCATGATTCATTTGCTTCTAGTATTTCTTACTACTTAAAAGTGGAGCATAAAGGATATCCTCCCAAGTATTGTCATTTTCCCAGCTTTGTGTATATGATCCTATATAGCTATATTGCACTGTATAGTTTAATATGTAAACACTGTTGTAAATGCTTCGTCCTCATATCATATTATTACGAAAATACCGAATTTTATGCCATTTCGTATTTTATTATTACTGTAATCAGAATTAAAATAAATAATAAATTCAATGATCTTGTAGAAGTTTATCCCTTATTTCTTGTTTTTTTTTTTGGGAAAGAAATTTCTCATTTTCTGCCTTGTCCGTGTACGTGAGCTAGTTAACATGTTAAAAACCCTAGTTCCCTGACATGAAAATTTAGCTCTTGACAAAACAATTGTGAACCAGAAGGGGGATGGATATGTTGACCACTGGAGATGGCTTGGTTTTCACAATATAATAACGGACATATATATAAATATGTAAACATAAAATTCGTAGTCACGTAAATTACTCAGACATCTGTATTAAGCATATTCAAACACGAACCCTGACATATATATATATATATATATATATATATATAAACATATATTTCTACGCAGTCTAATTTTTTGGGCAGATCCTAATTTAACAATGGACCTCGATGCGAGAGTCCAAAACCCGTGAGGTATGGTATGTTATTTGGGCCTCCAGTAGTACTTTTCTTCGACGCATGTTAATTTTGAAAGTGTCGTGTCATGGGTGAGCATACGAGCTAAGATAACAGCCCAGTTGGTTTATTTTAGGCCTCTTTGTGCACAATTAATTTACTGAACAAGAGGGAGGCTTGTCTTGTCGTTTTGGAAAAGTTTACATCTTTTATAGTTTAGTTGATGAAATTTTCAACAAAGGTTAAGCTGTCTTCCATATATGAATTGTTGTTTAATTTAATTTAGTTGGTTGCCTATCCCTTTCAATACATTCCGAGTCAAATATATGTCTCACATCAAGAAAGAAAAAATTAATAATAAAAAAGAAGTAAATGCCATAAAGAAAAAAACATCTCTCTCAGTCTCATTCCTCGTGCTTTTATGAGGGCAAAGCAAAAGTGGGAAATTTTGCAAATTTTAATCCATGTTTCCAGGGACATGAAAGGCACCTCCTTGTCAACAATGTTGGATTATGGGTTTGGATTCTTCTTTCATTTAAACCCTACCCACCTTCCATATTTATATATATATATATATATATATATATATTGATTATATAGAATTCTTATAACAGAAAACTTTCTCTGTTTGCACTCTCTTTCAGACAAGATAGGGGTCCTAGGAATATGGGTATTTTTGGTGATTGGTGTGTTTGTTTTTTTAGGGCTTTTAATATTTGTGAATATAGGGTTTGGGCCATTGCTTTTTTCACTTTTCTTTTCTTTTTTTATCTTCAATGGCAAAATCTTCTTTTAGGCATGGGCTAGAGTTTTTTTTTTTTTTTTTGGGAGCTTTTTTCTTTAAATTTTTCCAATTTACAACTATTTTGGATAATGGAAGGAGAATTACCAAAAAGAGAAGGTAATCGGGAGAATTTCTGGGTACCTCGTGTCTTCTAAAGCAATTCTGGAATAAATTTAGAAATGTTTTAGAGTCCATTTATGAAGGAAGGCTTAGTTTTAAGTAGGAGATGATACAACTAAGAGGATAAAAAAAGGTTTGACTTGATATCGCATTTTATTTGAGATTACAAGATTTGATAAGAGTTTCATCAAAATTTTCAATTAATTCCCCACAACAGCTTAAACTCAGAAAGTTGCTTGGTTTTAAATTTGTTCAAAAAAAAAAAAAAAAAAGAGCAATTAATTAGGATATATACAAAGAAAAAGAAAAAAGAAAAAAGAGAATCGTATTGTTTGAATGTGACATGACATGTTTTTATTTTTAGGTCATAGAGCATGACATTTCAGAGAAGAGAATGCATACAGGAGAGAAGGTAAAGGAAGTTAATGATGTTAAGAGTCTCTGCAGACTGCAGGGGGGGGAAATAAAACTGGCAATCTGGTGAGGTTGAGAAGAAACCACTTTTCTTTTTTTTTTTGTCTTCAACACACTTTTCTTTTCTTCTTCCCCTTTTATTTCTTCTTTAAATAAGTTTTTAAGTTTACGTACATACATATATATATAATCATAGAAAACCAAATACAAGGTGTGATGTGCAGTCAGGCTAATTTTGATTTGTTTAACTTTAAAATACTAAACGAAGAAAAAAGCATGCATAGAGTGTAAACACAAAATGGTTAAGAGATTGGTTGCTATCCATAACTTGCTTTTTGTTGACTCTGCTGTTGCCTTCTCTTGTTTTAGATTTTGCTTTGGATTTTTATGATCCACGTGAAATGCCAAACAACTCCTCTGCAATCTTCTTCTTCTTCCTCCTCATTTAATTCTGTAACTTGCCTTCCTCTTTTTTCTTTCTTTTGGGTCTATTTTTCCTGCCCTTTTCAATAATAATAACAATAATAATGTCTGCCTAGGTGGTCCTTCTGCGATTTTGCACTGCTTCCAGGATCTTTGTTGGGAAGAATTAATTGTTCAACAAATTAAATTTCATTTGAAGAAATCCATTTGGTCTCATTATTTCTCAATGATTGATTACATCCATAATCATATACCTTTCATGTTTATTGTTATGATGAGTCTTCGTTGTATTTAAGATGTAAATAAGGTTAACAACATCTTTCTTTTCTTTTCTTTTTTTTTTTTTGGGGGGGGGGGTATAATTTCTAATTTTTCGGGTTATCGTATTTTCGTATTAACTATATTTTACTACCTAGTAAAGACATGCTTCCACAATTGTAGTATAGGATGTTTCATATCTTAGAAATATTATTCATACACCTAATAGGGTAATTTTTCTTTTTTTTTTTTCTTCTTCCTCCACTTTCTTAATTGAAAACCTTTAAACATTCCTCAAATAATTACTTACCGTTAATATTTATTCGAAAATTTATGTTATGTCATTTTGTTTTTATATAGTTTGAATTATTTATATTTTAATCCATTTTCATACTCTTGTTTGAAAGATTGTTGAGTTTTGTGCAATTTTTTGTTATTACAAGTATTAAAGAAATAAATAAAATTTCTTCACGACGGCTTTGAAAAAAAGACACATAGTTTAGGACATGTATAAGAAATTAATCACATATAATATATATGTCTTTTTGTAGCAAAACTTAGCTAGAGCCGGCTAATGTTTATCATAATTAAGCATATACTTATTCTGTAGCATATTCGAATTAGGGAACTAAACTCTAGATCATTAACAAACTTAAATAAGGATTAAGTAAACAAGAAAGTTGATCAAACAAACATGAACAATCCTAAGGTGGTTTTGATCACTGGTTGTGCCAAAGGTGGAATAGGTTATGAATACTGCAAAGCATTTGCTGAGAAACAATGTCGTGTCTTTGCTTCCGACACACCTCAGAGAATGAACAACATGTCGGATCTTAATAGTTTCGACAAAATTAAGACGTTAGAGCTCGATGTTTTATCCGATATAAGTGTCTCATCAGCAATTAATACCATCATCTCCAAATATGGTCACATAGATGTGTTGATCAACAATGCTGGCATAGGCAGTGTCGGTCCATTAGCAGAGCTTTCACTAGACACAATAAGAAATGCTTGGGAGATTAACATGTTAGGGCAATTAAGAATGATCCAACAAGTGGTGCCTCACATGGCGGAAAGGAGAAGTGGGTGCATAGTGAACATAGGCAGTGTGGTGGGGAAAGTCTCAACGCCATGGGCGGGATCATATTGTGCTAGTAAAGCTTCTGTTCATGCTATGTCCGACGCCTTGCGGGTTGAATTAAGGCCTTTTGGGATTAATGTGGTGGTGGTAATGCCCGGTGCGGTTAAATCCAATTTTGGCCGAGCGAACATGGAGAGATTAAAGGACCCAGATTGGAAACTTTATAAGGGTTTTAAGGACTCCATTGCTGAGCGAGCCGGAGCTTCGCAAGGAGCTTCTGCGACTGATGCCACCATATTTGCTAGACATGTAGCAGAGAAAGTTTTGAGAAGAAAACCACCACGACAGATTATGTTTGGTCATATGACTGGTTTGTTTACTGTGCTTTCATGGTCTCCTATGTGGGTTAGAGATCTTTTTTTCTCTACTCGTTTTGGATTAAACAAGAAGATGTAATTAATTACCTCTAAATTATAATAAATTAGTAATAATATTATGTGGTAGTTTACCATAAATAATTTTCTGAGAAACATGGTAGAACCCGTGAAGGGAGAGTTTTTCAAAAGCAGACTAGTGATGAGAAAAGTAAAAGAGAGTATTGATATTGAAAGAAAGCAGGAAATGGTGAGGCAGAAAACAGATGTGTTTTATTAGTCTATCCACTATTTCTAGTAAACCCCTATTGGCTTCTAGTGCTTGTTTGGGCGACTGGAAAATTTTTTTTCAAAGAAAAAACATTAATTCATCATTACTGCAATCAAAAAGAAAGGAGATGGTGGATCCTGCCTTCTTTCTCGGTAGCCAAACAGACCCCTTAAAACCCTCTTTTCAAAAAACAAAATCATTCTCGATAGAAAATCTGTCTCCATGCAATATTTTACATTCAACACCCACTACACACCCCGCGCGCGCCCACACACAAACTCATATATATGGATTTATATGTTTTTCTTATGAATTCGATACATTAATTTAAGTAATAGTAATAATAATAATTGGTTTGAAATGGTACTCCAAACTATATTGGGATGTATATATATATCTATATGTGTGTGTGTGTGTGTGTGATTAATGCATGCACGTACAGTGTTTGCGTGTATATATGTATACATATCCCAAGATACCAATGAGTACAATGCTAAGAGCCATATTTATATCATAAACTAACCCTATATTTTTTTCATCAATTTTTTTTTTTTAAATTTCTGATTTCATTATGTTGCTTCCGGTTTCAGTTTTGTCTTTTCTTGAATCCGAAGAGTACTCTCCTTGGTAATAGAAAATAATATTTTCTAACTCACATATATTAATTCAATTAACAACAGTTGATAAATTAAAATATCAAAATAACACTGCACATACAGTCAAGGACATTTTGTATATATATATATATATAGGTGCATGTGTGTGTGTGTGTGTGTTAAAGTCAAGGTAGGCAACAAAGGAAAAGCCAGAGGAGTTAAATGAGGCATGTTTTATTGTTTTTAGTACGACCCTGTGAGGTTGACAAAACACAATACACGTAGCTTGTATCATAAAAACGCATGAAAAATTTTTCAGACTCGTTTTCGAAAAGCTTTCGTGATCTTTGTCAAGTCATTATCTATATACATATGCATATATATATATATATATATGCTTACAGAAATAAATTAATAATGATTATAAATTAATAATTAAATAGATTCAGAATGGGTTTTGAATTAATTGAAATTAATTCCGCTTACTTTTTCATTTTACAGAACACCAGTTTTAATTAAAAATATATATACATATTAGATTTTTCAAAAGCATGACAAATCTTTATAAAAATTCAAAATGAATAAATTATATTTATAAAATTAACTTGTAAATTTGAATTACGTAATAATTATTCTTTTAATCAATTTATAGTTAAACCCATTTTATATAATTTTTGAATAGATTAAATATACATTCATCAATTAAATAATATATAAATATTAAATAATTTTATAGAAAAAAAATATGCAAAAATCATTAAATTAAGTGGCTGTCAGTACTTTTATATAATTAAATTAAAAGCAAGTAATGTAATGATAGGAAAGGAATCGTTTAATTCGGTTAATTAATTAAGAACAAGAAGGGTTTAATTAATTAGCAAAAAGTAATCATGTTAATTAATAATTATAATGGAGGATATAAAGTGTTTGCGGCCTACAAAAAGCATGTTCTTTTTAAGGGCCCTTCGGAGGAATATCAACTTTGAGAACAAGGCGGTCCCTTTTAAGTAATTAGTGTTTACTTAATCAACACCTGCCCTGTTCATTACAAGATTAGTTCTTAATTTTCAAATAAATAACCAAATTATTAACTTTCTTAAAATAACATATAGATTAAACAAATTATTTCAAAAATATAAGCCGAATATAATTATAAAAAAAATTTAATTATTTATTTATATTTTTAATACACTCTTTCGCATATAAATTTATACAGTTATTATTCAAAAATTTTAAACAGATAAATAGTATTTAAAAATTCGTCATTTAAATTATGATAAAATAATTTCTGGGTACGTTTTAATATTTTTTTTTCAATACAAAA